GGGTTTCCAACTCTAACTGTTACCATCTTCTCGCAACCGCCGTTGTAACATGAAACAGCTGCGCAATTCTGACCAAAGAGATCGTTTGACTTTATGTATTAAAACTTATAAGAGGCTCAATCTCTATGCTTGTAATCATCGAATAAAATTAGAATTATATACATTTAAAGTTTTTTTTCTCACATTTTTCTCTATCTTATTATTCTCTTTTTTTTTTTTAAAGATTAGAACCCATTTCAAAGGTTTCTAACATTCTCTTATATATTTATGGCCTTCATTTTCTTTCTTTGTGTATCGGGTTGGGGTAAGGAAGTTTGTAGAAGTCTCGTTGACAAATTGGAGGCAACAACTTTATTGCAATTTTTAAGGAACTTTAGTAACATTATTTAGGAAAATGAGTTGCAGAATTTTCATTTCTTGAATCCTCAATTCATTTGGTTAGCCTTTAGGGACAGAGTCATGTCTTCGTTTTTATATTAGGTTCTGTAACTAATTGGTCGGGAAGACAGTTTTCTGAATATGAAGTATGAGGTGTGTTTTTTTGGGATATTTTCGCTTGCAAAAGGGATATCGATTTTTTACTCTTTAGACCTTAATTAATATGTAGTATCAGCCGATGTAGTATTTTCAAAGAATATACCATTCTTCTCTTCACAATTTAGTTCTACAGATCAGGTAAAGGACGATGAACGACTCATTTATAGATTGCAACACAATACCACTACGGAGCAATTAGGTAATGATATTTCTTTTTATGTGCCTCCTGAACAAACTGATGATGGTGTGCTTTCAACTCAAGAGACACCGCCAATTATTTATGTTTATTTTAGAAGATAACAGACTAATGATACATGTTCTGCACCAGTTTTTTCATCATCTGATCCTACCATTCATGATCTTGATATTCCCATCAATTTTCGTAGAGATATACGTTAGTGCACATTTCCTCATTCTACTTATCCCATTGCTAATTGCATTTCATATGATCACTTGTTTCATTCGTTTAGTTTTTTAATTGTTTTTATAGATTCCACTTATATACCAAAGACAGTTAAGGAGACTCTGAATCACCTTGGTTGGCGTAATGTCATACTGGAGGAGATAAATATTTTTGATGATAATCATACATGAGATCTGATGGATTTACTCAAAGGAATAAAAGCTGTAGAGTGCAAATGGGTATTTGCAGTCAAAGTGAATTCAGATTACTCTGTAGCGAGACCTAAAACTCGATTAGTAGCAGAAGGTTATGCTCAAATTTATGAGGTGAACTATGCTGATACATTATCTCCAGTAGCCAAACTTACTTCTGTTTGTTTATTCATATTCATTACAGTCTCCCGAAACTGACTCTTTCACCAAATGAACATTAAAAATGCATTTATTCGATCTTTTAGAAGAAGTGTACATGAAATAACCATCTTCAGTTGTTGTTTAGGGAGAGTACGAGAAAGTTTGTCATTTGAAGAAATCCTTATATGGTTTGAAATAGAGTTCCCATATGTGGTTTGACTAATTTAATGAGGTAATCTTTGAGTTCGTATTGAAGAAGATCAAGTGTGATCATTCAGTTTTTTACAGACAATCAACAACTGATACTATACTTCTTGTTGTTTATGTTGATGATATTATGATTACAGAAAATGACCATGCAGGAATATCCTCTTTCAAGTCATTCTTACAGACCAAGTTTAATACTAAAGAGTTAGTACAGTTAAAATACTTTTTGGGGGGTGGAAGTAACAAGAAGGAAGAAAAAAATTTTGTTGTCTAAGAGGAAGTATGTATTTGATCTATGTGCAAAAATATAAAAGCTGTGAGCTAAGTCATGCAATACACCAATGGTACTAAATATATATCTTACAAAAGAAATGGTTATTCCTTTGATGATCTAGAGAAATACAAGCTGCTAGATGAGAAATTGAATTATCTCAATGTGACTCGTACAAGTATTGCATATCATGTTAGTATTGGAAGTCAATTTATGTCTGCACCTATTGAAAAGTTGTGGAACAGATTTTGTGTTACTTAAAAAGTGTCATGTGACTTGGCATAATCTTTAGAAATCATGAATATACTCACATTGAATGTTGTACAGATACTGATTGGGCTGGATCTAATATTGATGGAAGCTCTAGTACGGAATATTGTGTTTTTGTTGGTGGGAATCTCGTATAAGGAAAAAGTAAGAAACAAATAGTTCTATCTTTCTCAAGCGCAAAGTCTGAATATAGAGTTATGACCCAATTCACATGTGAAGTCTTATGGATACAGCTTACATCTCCTGTAAAACTCTGGTGCAATAATCAGGCTGCCCTTCATATTGCATCAAATACTGTGTATCATGAGAGAACCAAACATATCGAGATTGATTGACATTTAATCTAAGAGAAAATTTAAGAAAACTTTATATTTACTAGTTATGTGAAAATAGGAGAACAACTTGGTGATATATTCATAAAGTCTCGGAATGGAACGCGAATTGAGTATATTCGGCATAAGGTGGACATGATTAATATCTATGCTCCAGCTTAGGGGGAGTGCTAGAATATTATAAAATATCTTTATACATAATAGGGTGATTATGTTTCCAAATGTATTAAATTAATTAGGAAATAAATTAATAGAGTGATTTATATTGATTACCATATATGAATCAATTTACATGTATACATATCTCTACTCTCATTTCAATATAAAAGTAAGAAATATTCAGTATTTTTTCTTAATTCTTTACAACATTTAATGATAGATAATTGATGATTGATTTTAGTGACTAATTAAATGTATTATATATTACTGATTAGGTGTGAAAATCAATTACTTGATTCCTTTCCAATTTTTGGTAGACTCTTGTACTAACAAAATGTGGGAAAGTTATATAATTTTACTACAATAGAAAAATTACAGATTTCAATTCTGTTTTTGTGGTATCAGAGCTCGAATTCATCTAACCTAGCCCTCAATGTAAGAGATTGACAACAGAGGATCGATTACCTCTGAAGAAGAAGAAGAGGTCTACTCCACCATGAGTTCTAACAGTCAGAAGGCTCCTCGTTCCAACTCTCAGTGGCGAAGTTAAATTTGGAAAACTTTCGAGAATGGGCAGAATCAATTAAACTCATACTTGATGGTAAAGGATGATTGGGGTACCTCATCGGAGAAGTAATAAAATCGACCAATTCAAATTCAGCCACTATGCTGAAATGGAAGTCTGAAAACTCCATGGTAATCAATTGGCTTGTGAACTCGATGAAACCATCAATTAGGCAAATGCACGTGTTCCTGTCGATGAACAAAGAAGTTTAGGATGCCGTGCATGAAAAATACGCGAACATGGAAAACTTGTCACTAATCTTCGAAATAAAAAACCAAACTTTGGCAGATGAAGTGAGGAGAATAAGAGGTCATAGAATATTATTTGTTGTGATGTTTTTTTGGTGAGGATTAGATCTGTGCATCAAAGAAGGGTTAGAGAGCTCCGGGGAAAACATCCGTTACAAGAGAAAGCTGGAAAATGAAAGAGTATATGAATTTTTGGTCAGTCTCAACCACGAGCTTGATGATGTCTGGGGAAGAATTCTTAGTTGTCGACAGCTGCTTCTGCTCGATCTATATTTACAGAGGTGAGGCATGAAGAAAACAGGCAAAATGTGATGTTGAAGTAAGTGAAAAGGTCAAATACTATTGTTGGTTGGCTAACTGCTGAAGGAGAGTTAAATGGGCTTGCTGGCCTGGAATTTCAGCCCTAAGTAGAAAAGAGACAGTTCCTAAAACAGGTTTTAGACAGCAAAAGAATCGGACCTAGTGTGGATATTGCAAGAAAAAGGGACATGCTAAGGTAACCTGTTGGAAGATACATGGAAAACTAGTAGATTATAAGCCCAAGTTTAGCAACCGGGCCCATGGATGTAACCTTCTGTTTAGGACCAGCCGAAAAGAATGAAGAAGAAAAACCAGGAAATAATTTTTCCACCAAAAATGTCTTCAGTACCAAGCAACTGGAACAAATCTATAAACTTTTCTTTCATTTTTTTGTTAGACTCTTGCACTATAAAACGGGGGAGAGTTGTACAATTCTGCAACAATAGAAAAATAATAGATTTTAATTCATTTTCGCTTTCTTTAGAAGGGTGTCTGGATTGGCACTGTAGAGGGATTTTCCTGCTATTTTATCTATGTGCATGTTCTTTGGTTTGTTGCTTCTATATTTGCTAATTTTTTAATTGGAGAATGCTTTATCTTTTTGTTCATAATTTACTTCTCCCTTCTTAATAATATCTATTTGTTTATAGTAAAATCTATACTTTTTCTGGAATTCCTTGTTTAAAAAGTATTGGCGGTAAAACGTTCTCTGAAGTTGAGAAATAACTTGTAATTAACTTTGTGATTGCAGGTACTGGTTATATTATAATATAAATACCTTCCTAGTTTTCAATTTTGTTTGCATTGGAGAACTCAAAATATTGATATGTACCGGATGGATTGTAATATAAATATCTTATCTAATTGCAATTTTTTGATTGCAGGTCTGTTTTATACTTCATTGCATGCTACTTTTCGAGGAAGGGCCCTCAAGTAAATTGTTTTTCTTTTTCTTTAAATATTTTTGTTTCATTTTAGATATTGTTTGCACCTTTTTTTGGCTTTGTTTCTTGGTTGTTATTCATTGCATTAGTTGTTTTTTCGTGGATTCAAGTCCAATTGGAATATAGCTTGGTCTAGCTTATAGTCAAGATTCTGGGTATAATCTTAATTTCTTCCCGTCTCATGTGGTTAAAATTCTATTTTGCTTTAGAGGAATTCTAATTTTTTGAGCCATGGGCTAAGGAAACAAAACTAACTTTTCCAATATGCTTTCTGGTTCTAAAACATTACAGGGCGACCTTCGAGACAATTTACATCTCAGACGAACTCTTTTGCAAGCAATATTGAGATCTTTTAGCTGGAAGGTTTGAACTAATTAAGGCATGACATAGTTTTATTTTCATTGCTTTTCTGTTATACTTCTGTTTGTAATTAAATAGAGCGAGTAGAATTTTAAGAAAGAACTTATTAGTTGCCGTTGTATTTTTCACTGTTTGGGCTTTCCAACTTATAACTTTACCTTATCTAGTTCACTCAACAGTGAAGTATTAATGCATTGCTGGAACGGATATATGCTTTTGCATTTTTCCTCCTATTGCTGGTCAATGATACTCTTCCAGCTTTTGAGAGGATTATTCAGTCCTGGTAGTGGAGTTTTTATTAGACAAGATAGCAGATTTCCAGAAACACGGTCCATAGGGAGCGTTTGAGATTCAATTATGTGAATCAGTATATGGAATGCTCTGTTTATAGCTTTCTTGATGCTTTTTTCTTAATTCAAATCCCATAACAACAAAGCCTAGGGCAAGTGTGGAAGCCTCTCCCTCATTATTATTAAAAAACAAGCTTTATGGTGCTAAATGTTTAACTACTTGGGTGAATGTTGGTGCTCTTTCCTTCCACTTGATATAATTATTATTATTTAAATAAAAGAAAATGATATTCAGAAGGCCCTCACCCTTACATGTGATATTATAGTTTTTCATTCCAGAGAGAGAGAAATGAAATAGATCTTTAGGAATCTTTTTTGGTCTTACACTTTATAGCTTGGATATTCATGGTAGAAGAAAAAAAGTATTCTAACGTGCATTTCATTTAAACATCTGGACACCTATTATACATGATATTATGCATATATACATATATTCACACATACCCGCATAAGATTGTACATGCTTTTGCGCATACACACATGTCCAAGTGAATTTGGTGGTTGTCTGATATCACAATTTGCCAAAATTTCCTCTTTTGTTTCTTTTTGTTTTTCCTTTTGATCTTCATGATGCTTTATTTTTTCTAAAAAAAGTGTCTGTGTTTTATGTTAAAACATATTATGTTTCTATTTACGTTTTGAGCTGTAAGTATTTAGAATGCCAAAAGTGTCATGTTCCTCACATTATTATTTAGTATTGAAATATCATTCACTGTAACTAGTAGCTTTTTATGTAGGGATCTGCTACATTGAACGAGCAGAATGCATCATTACTACCCGCGGGCTGTTTATGTTCTTGCGTTGGTTTTCCCGGTTACACTTTGTTATAGAGGACATTTTCCCTGCACTCTAATGTTGGATCAGAATAAGAATCTAGATGATGGATCAAGGTATATATTGATTTTGAATCTCTTCTTGTCACTACAGTTTTGTATTTTTTTTTCTGCCTCTGAGACACTAAAATTTGATCATGTTTGTAGGCAGAGGAAATTGAGCGTGAAGGGGGGCTTAAGCTTTTTGAATGCTCAGTGGAAACTCTCACAAAAATCATAGGTTCTACTGCTGAGGTGCTGCTATTTACTATTACCAGTATAATTTATATTGAAGTTGCATTTTTGATGTAGGACAAAGAGAGCATGAGCAAAATGGTTGAAAGTCCACCTACCAATAGATTCAAATATGTGCTAATCCAACTTCTTGTCTTAAGCAGATTGGTATCTTCAGGGAAATCTCCCAATAAAGCAAAATCATGATTGACTTCCATAACTGGAGGTTCTTTTTTTTATGGGATTAATTTGTATTTAGTTTTCTACTTAAACTCTCTTTAAAATCTTCTTCTATATATACCCAACTGTTTTTTTTTTTGAAATAAAAGTATAAAATTATATTAAAAGGCACCAAGGGGGTGCTGCCCATATACAAAAAATTTATATATCAATAAGCATATTTACAATTACTCCAAAGTTATCTAAACTATGTATGCTATGTCCCAAAATATAGGAGTCAAAATAGTGTAACCATCTATCCTTAAGGTTAGTGAAAATGTCCTCCTTACCATCAAGAGCTATATTGTTATGTTCTTTCTAAATTATCCACATAATTCTTCTATATATACCTAACTGTTTTTTTTTGAAATAAAAGTATAGAATTATATTAAAAAGCACCAAGGGGGTGCTGCCCATATACAAAAGATTTACATATTAATAAGCAGATTTACAATTGCTCCAAAGTCATCTAAACTATGTATGCTATGTCCCAAAATATAGGAGCCAAGTATAACTATCTATCCTTAAGGTTAGTGAAAATGTCCTCCTTACCATTAAGAGCTATATTGTTATGTTCTTTCCAAATTATCAACATAATGGAAGAAGGGATGAGGCGGGCAGCTTTGCTAGTACCAGTAATCCCCTCCCAAGCATTTAGTTCATTAAGGACCGAGCCAGCTATCACCTATTTGATACCCATAAATGGTTACATGATTCTGCAGTGCTTTTGCACAAAAAACATATGTCACTAATCCCCATTTCATTGAATTATCCATAGTAAAGATACGCTCTTTGGATGCTTCCCAAGCAAAGAATGAGACTCTAGGAGGGCAAGGGTCTTCCAAATGATTTTATGGGGAAAGTGATTGGTCACCCTGGTACTATGGTTAATCATGCTGTTGTAGAGGGAGTTGACAAGAAAATTCTTGTTTTTCCTTAAAGTTCAACAGTGTCATTGAGCTGAACTGAACTCATTAGGGATAGAAAACCGTCATAATCCTCAATTTTCCAGTCATTTAAATTCTTGCAAACAGAAATGGAGCAGACCCGGTGATCAATGCCACTGAAAGCATCCCTCAAGAGGATATGTTTGTCTTTTGCAAAAGCAAAAATGTTGGGAAATCTCGACAAGAGGCTGGTCTTACCAACCTAGGCATCCTGCCAGAACCGGATCCTGTTACCATTACCGACATCCCATCTGATATACTCCAGCACTTTATTGTAAATACGCATAATACCTCTCCAAAAGCTTAAACCGTGGGATCCTGTTAGCAAGAGTGAGATTGCCGTTGTAGTCTTTTCTCATCCATTTTATATCAATGATCTTTTCCCAGAGACTGTTGTCTTCATTTAAGTATCTCCAAATCCATTTGCCGTGTAAAGCTTTATTCATGGTGGTGAGAGAGCGCAGCCCCAACCCACCCAACCGGGAGGGCTCTTCACCTCATCTCAATTGACAAGTTAGTAAGCTCTTTTACTGTCAGTATCGCCCCACCTCCTTTGTCCAGGCTTTGATCTCAACTTTGAGTCCTCTGAAAGCAATTCTATAGCTGACAGTACCTTCAATAACAGTGCTATCCCAAATGAGATGCACAAGATCTCTAAAACTGTCAACTTTCATCTATGATATGAATACATCTATTTCTTTACAAAAGTGTCACAGGCTTAACCTTCCTAAAATGGTCTCCAAAGGAAAAAGAAACACAACTAACGAACTCTTAAGAGTTCTTAGAGTCTTCTTGGATTAGACAACTCAATCAATACCTCAAAACTCTGCCTTCCAAGACTTCTCTTCAAGTTCTACTAATAATTGGTCTAAAATGGTTATGAAAATAATGCGATACACATTCCACTTAGTAACAAACTATAACACCATAGCAAGAAATCAATAAATATCATAATAAATCACATATAACACATACATTCTCCAAAAATTAATACTTTGATGATAAAATTTCTTGATGGAGATATAAATATCATCAATGTGCTTAAAGAAAAAAACCACCAAACATCATGGTGATTTAACGGATCAAACTCCTAAACAAATGGGTATAAAATCTATTGATGAATAACAATATTCCATTCCTCATACAACAAGCTTTCACTATTATCATGGAAGACACAAGGTAGTTCTCAAGTGGTCGGACTCCCCTTAATCTTATGAATAGGCACATAATTCCCGGAAAGGGTTGGGTTCCCTCCATAAAATGGATGGCATAATTTACTCCTTAAACAGTATAGGTGGAAACAAACACTCCCTGCATGATAATGATGAACACAAATCAAAATTACATATCAACAAATTTCTTAAAAGGTTCAAACATCAAATTGAGCAAACACATGGTTATGTTGCTTAAAAAGAATCATTCAATAATAAAAAGATAAATACAGAGTTAGGAAATTATAGATATGCTCATAAAAATCAGATTATTCATATATATAACTAAACAAATATAAACATGATTTATATAAATCAGATTGTGTATATAAATATACATCTTAAAACTATCACTAAATCAAATGATATATGCAATCAAATTAATATATGGGTAAATTAAAACAACTTAAAATAATTAATAATCTCTAGAATTAGGTAATTACAAAATCTCCTTATATATGAAGTTGTTTGAAACTAAATATTACACGGAACTTAGGATCAACCATTGTGATAAAAAACTCACACATATAATTTAACACAAAAGCTTAATTCCTAAACAAACCCTCCCTCATTAACTCTCAATCAATCTGTGATTGAGAATTAAGATAGTTGAGAAAAAAATAAGAATTGATAAAACAGCACAAGAGTTATCTTGATAAATAGAATCAATTCTTCACTTAACAAGAAGGTTGAAGAAAACTTCTCCAATGATCACTCAAAAGTTGAAGGCTAACCAAAGCAAAAAGCTTGTATTTTATTGAATTTGATCTTGAATATATTACAGCTAAAGAAGTGAGACCTTTTTATAACCATAAGCCTAAAGAATTACAATAAAACTCGAAGTTTAAAATCTAGGAAACTAATCTTGAAATTCTATCTAGGACTCTTAAAGAAAATAATAAAATAAGAACTTGTAAATTAACATAATTAAGACTCTTCACTCTTGGATAGTTGTTAAATTCTTCAAGGATTGTAGCTGATCACTCTTGGACCATTTGCATAATGAATAAAGACAATCTCTGAGAAATGACAAATTATCATCCCAGTTTTTCCCAAGTAAATAACGTAAGCACTCAACATATGCTGTAGTGTTTGTATTGTTTTCTATGATTGACCATCAGTTTGACAATAAAATGCAGTGCTAAAATCTAATTTGGTGTCCAATGCATTCTGAAAATTAGTCCAAAATCTAGTAGTAAATTGATGATCTCTATTTGAAATGAAAGTGGTTGGGATTCCATGTAGCGTCACGATTTCTTTAATGTAAAGTTTAGTTAGTTTCTCAATTGAATTATTGATCTTTATAACTAAGAAATGAGCAGATTTTATCAGTCTATCCACAATGACCCGAATAGTATCATGAGTTAATCTTGTCCCTGGCAATCCTAGTACAAATCCATTGTTATATTTTTTGATTATCATAAATGGCAGATTTTTTCAGTCTATTCACAAACACGCAAATAGCATCATGGGTTAATCTTGTCTTTGACATTTCTACCACAAAATCTATGGTTATATTTTCCCATTTCCATTATGGAACTGACAAAGGATGAAGTAGTCCAGTGGGTTGTTGACATTTGACTGAGATTTGTTGACATGTAAGACATTTTGAAACATATTAGTAGTATCCTTTTTCAGCTCACTCCACCAATACATCGGTCGCATGTTTGGTACATTTTAATACTTTCTGGATGCATAAATGCTTAGAGCAGTGTCCTTCTTCTTATTGTTTATACATTATTTATGTATTATATTGTGTTAAAGAAAGAATGAATTAGGTTAGAGGGTTTAAGGATACATTACACTCTTTGTGATTAATTATAGTTTATTGTCTACAGATTACCTTAATAATAAAATACTTTCATTATAGGATTTTCAAATTCTGCATTAGTTCTCCGTGCAACTAATGTTGGTTTTTTATTCTATGCAGGCTTCTCCATCCCAAGTTCATCAACCTGTTCGTCTTCCAAACCAGTTAAGAGAGCCATTGCTTCATGAAATGGATATTTGTATACTTGGATTACTCGAAGATAAGGAGATTGAAAGATCACTATCAGAGATCTTCCTTACATGTGCTTTGTTATCTAATCTTATATATGGTTCAATAATGACCAGGTTTGTTTTTTCTTCTCAACACACATTTTAATACTCAGTGGTATCCTTTTTCATCTCACTCCACCAGTACATTGGTCGCATGTTTGGTACGTGGAATGGCCTAAAAAAAGAAGATTAAAGTAGTGATTTGTAGGTTGAATTTGGACATTGTTATATTTCAACAAACTAAAATTGAGAGAGTGGACTGTTTTTTGATTCCTAGTGTACAGGATTCTGGGTTTAAAGATTTGGTTGCAAGTTCCTCCTTGTGGGCTTTCAAAGGGATGTTGGTGATAGGAGTATCAGATTGGATTCTCTTGTTGGTTCAGTTGAGGGAGATTTATACTTGTCATGCTTAATATTATTGGGCAAGCCAATTGGTGTTTCAGAAGTGTTTTCAGCCCAACCTAGGCTTTGTTCCTTTGTAGAGGCTCTTCATTTGTTGTTTCTGGTTTTGCACCATTTTTGGTCTATTTGTGCCACTACCATGAGAGGTTTCAACAATTTTATTCAGGCTGTTAGCTTAGAGATCTTCCTTTATCCTATGCCAATTTATTTGTCTTTCTCTATTTATTTTTGTTCAGATTGTAACTTGTAGCTGATGTTCATGGTTGGTATTGATTTTGGCATTTTATGTCTCTTATACTTCATTCTTTATTTTTTCTTTTTCTTGTTTATGCTTTGAAATCATTGTTTTGTGACAGGAAAAGGGAAGGAGTTTCATCGTTTATCTCGAAACTGGGCCTGTATCTACTGGAATATCTTGATCTTGCTACTAAAGTAGTTCAGGGAATTGAAAATGACATTCAATCTCTAGGCTTTCTGGGCTCCAACTCTAGTTCTACTGAGAAGACTTCAATTGGGGCTTCTTTTAAATGCTTTGTCAGCTGTCCTATTTTTGCCAAGGGGCGGGATCAAAATGTTCTGGATCTTGCAATTTACGATGCAGTTATTCAATCCATGGAGATGCTACTGAAGGAGCTAGCAAAATTGTTTGAAGAACAATTTTTGTGTGTAAGAAATCTCCAGTCTGAGGTAGTCTCCTTCGAATCAACTTCACTTGATTCTCCTGTACAAATCTCTTGTCCCATGGATAGCCATAGAAGTCGGATTTTGGACATGGAATTAGATATCAATGAGGATATTAACGATGTGGATGTTATAGCCGGCGGGAAGGTTACTGTGAACACATCCTTTTATGCTTGCAAGTGGAAGCTGGAGATGGTAGCCCTGATTTCAAGTTTTTTCTCAGTGTTACATGGGCTTACATGGGACATTCTGTTCAATCTCATGGATAAAGAAAGTGATAAATTGGTACTTACTGAGTTATTGTGCTCATTAAGTTGTTTCTTATCTTTTATTTTTCTTTTCCTGAAAAAAATGATTTAAAATGTTTTCAGGTCTATGAGAATATGCTATATAATCTCTGTCAACATCCTCATTGGCCCTCTTCAGCAAAGATTACAAATTTGGTATGAATCGATCTTGTGCTCACTGGGGAAAGTTTACACTTCCTGGATATATAAGTAAATGTCATGCATTTTATTGGTCAATCCCTGCTTGCAGTTTGTCCTATTACTTACAGTTCCATGCTTTCCTTTTGTACTCAGGTGAACTTAATAAATAACTTGATTGAAAGGCATGCAAGTCTTAAGCTCGACTGTTATAATATACTTGCTGCTATCCATTGTTTGCTTGGTACTTTGGTATCTTTGACGTCAGACACTGCTCAAAAAGCAATAGATGATGACTTTTCTTTGAGGGAAGGAGGTACCAATCAGGTACTGAAAACTTACTGTCTGTGTAGTTGAAATGCAAATTTTAGTATGGGTCTTAGTGCTTTTAAATTTACTAGTTTGGAATTATTATTTCGAGTTACTAATTATTCCGCAAGTTTAAGCTACTTGGATGCGACTATATTGCATGGGCTAATGGGGATCTTTTTTGATATTTTGCATTAATGTATTTCCCTCTTTTCACTCTCAGATAATGCGATATTTTTTATGGGAAAAACAATCCCAAAAGTTTAAGCTACTATAAGAATGCTAGCATTATTTAATTGCTAACATGTTCGCCTATGTGAAGTGAATTAGATTAAAAATGTGATAAAGCAAATATATACTAGACTTTAGATTGAAAATTTCATTTTAATTGAAACTGAAGTCAAAATTTGGAGTTCTCTTTGGCTTTGATCCCTTGTAAAATTATTAAGTTGAGTAACTAACTATTTCAATAACTTTTGCTGAACACCTAGGAGAGAGAGAAAAGCAAAGGGACTTAGAGTATAATACATGAGTGGTATCATGGAACATTAATGGGCTAAAAAATGTGCTTAAAAGAAAGAAAATTAAAGAATTTTTGGGGAGGGTTAGTCCTAACGTAATAATATCCAGTAGACAAAAAAAGAAGCCATTGATAGCCTGTAGTGTGGGATAGTTGTTTTAGGGACACTATGTTTGCTTCGAAGGTTAATGTTGTAGAGGGGACTTTCTCAGTTTCATTGTTGTTCAATATCAAAGGAAAAGGTTCTTGGTGGTTTACAAGTGTTTTAAGGCTCCACTATATACAAATATAGGTGTTGTTTTTGGGAGGAGCTTGCTGTCTTTCTTGACAGGTCTGTGCTACCCATTTTGGTGTATTAAGGGGAGACTAAGTGCTTGTAGGTTCACTCGGGAGAAAGTGGGAGAGGTGGCAGAATCACCACATCATTGCATAATTTTATTACTTTCATTAAGGAGTGTGGGCTTAGAGATTGATCATTGGCTTAATGCTCATTTCACCTGGCACTGGATAAAAAAGATGTTGTTTCATCACGGTTCGACCAATTTTTGATTCCTCTGCCTTGGGAGGATGGTTTTCCAGATCTAGTTTGGGAGGTTCTCCCACGACCTATATTAGATCATTTGTCTATTTTTCTTGAATCCTAATGAATTAGATGAAGACCAACCCTGTTCAGGTTAAAAAATATATGGTTGCAACAATGGGGTTTCAAAGGTGTGGTGAGATAAAGGTGGAAGGATGAGGACGAATCAAGGTGGGATGCATGCATATTTATGTGTAAATTGAAAAATTTGAAAGAGATTAAAATGGAAGAAGGAAGAGTTTGGGAATTTATTTTTGTAAAGAGTTAGGGAAGAAAATACTGAATATTTTTCGTATTATTATTCAAATAGGAGTCGGGTATATATACATGTAGATGGATTTATATATGGTAACCAATATAAATTACGCTATTAATTTTCTCCATAATTATGCCAATAAATTTGAAAAAATAATTATTTTGTTATGTGCAAAGAATATATATAGTATTCTAACACTCCCCCTCAAGTTGGAATATAAATATTAATCATGCTCAGATTTTTCTGAAGATACTTAATCTGTGTTCCATTCAGAAGTTTTATGAATATATCATCAAATTGTTTTTCTATCTTCACATTACTAGTTGATATAAAATTTTTCTAAATTTTTTTTCGGATGAAGTGACAATCAAGTTCGATATGTTTGGTTCTCTTATAATACACAAGATTTGAGACAATATAAAGGACAGTTTGATTATTGCAATAGAGTTTTGCAAGAAATGTGGGTTTCAAGCCCACTTCATTTAAAAGATGATGAATCCATAAGATTTCGCATGTGGACTGGACCCTAACTCTATATTCAGACTCTGGCTTGAGCGAGATACAACTATTTGTTTCTTACTTTTCCATGATACGAGATTCCGACAAAAAAAAAAAAATAACCCATAGTAGACCTCGTATCAGTCTTAGATTCAACCAAATCAATATCTGTAAAACATTCAATGTGAGTATGTTTATGATTTCTAAAAACTATGTCAAGTCCCGAAACACTTTTTAAGTATCACAAAATCTGTTCCATAACTTCTCAATTTGTGTAGACATAAATCGACTTTCAACACTGATAAGATATGCAATATTTGGACAAATTACATTGAGTTAATTCAATTTCTCATCTAATCGTTTGTATTTCTCTAAATCATCAAGAGAATCATTATTATCTTTTGTAAGATGTACATTTGGTACCATTGGCGTATTGCATGACTTACCTCTCAGCTTTCCTGTTTCTGCAAATAGATCAAGTAGATACTTCATTTGAGACAAGAAAATCCTTTCCTTCCTTCTTATTACTTCTACCTAAAAAAATATTTTAAGAGCCTCCTTAACTGTCTTGGGTATAGAAGTTGAATCTATATAAGCAATTAAAGAACTAAACGAATGAGACAAGTGATCATATGAAGTGAAATTAGCAATGATATAAGTAGAATGAGAAAAGGTGCATTATTGGTACCTTTACGAAAATTGATAGGAATATCAAGATAATGGGTGGTAGGATCAGATGACAAATAAACTGGTGCAGGACATGTATCATTAGTCTGTTGTCTTTTGGAATAAACGTGAATAATGACGGTTGTCCTTGAGTTGGAGGCACACCATTATCAGTTTGCTTGGAGGCACATAAGGAGAAATACCATTATTTGGTTGCTCCGTAAAGGCACTAGGTTTGAATCTATTGATGAGTCACTCATCGTTCTTCACCTGATTTGTAGAACTGGACGGTGACTAGAAGAGTAGTATATTTTTTGAAAAGACTATATCGGTTGATAGTAGATATTTATTGAGATCTGAATAATAACACCGATATCTCTTTTGCAAGCGGTAATATCCCAAAAAGAAAAACTTCAAGGCATTAAGATCCAACTTAGTAATACTGGGTCGCACATTTTGAACATAACAAGTACTACCAAGTATCTGTGACTGTACTGAAAATAATGACTTGTTTGGAAAAATAATACTATAAGGAATATCACCTTCAAGTACTGTAGAGGGTAGACGATTAATTAAGAAATAAGTAGTGGATACAACATCGGCCTAGAATTGTTCAGGGGCCTGTGTTTGGAATAAAAAAGCTCGATCAGTTTCAAGTAAATGTCTATTCTTTTTTTCAGTAACCCCATTATAAGATGGTGTATAAACACAAGAAGAGTGATGAAGAATCCTTTGTTGACTTATATAATTCTGAAATGAATTTGACATATATTTTTTGGCATTATTACTTTTTAACACATGCACATAAATATTAAATTGAGATTTGATTTTCGCATAAAAAGCACAAAAATGAGCAAATACTTTAAAATGATTTTTTATAAAGTATATCCAAATCATTCAAGAAAAATCATCCACAAAAGTATAAAATACTTCAACTTTATTTTAGACATAACAGGACATGAACCCCAAATATCAAAATGAATTAATTTAAAAGTAAACTCAGCTCGTTTATTAATTCTTAGACTCAACGAGGTACGATGATATTTTACAAATTGACACGACTCCCAATCTAATGAAGATATATCATAAAATTGAGAACCCAACTTTTTCAAAACAGTGAGAGATGAATGTCCCAACTGACAATGTGCGTCAAATGAAGAGACAACACTAGAGCATGCAACTGATCGAAGTACCCAATTATAAAAAATATAGAGATCTTCTGATACATATCCTTTACCAATAATCTGTTTCGGTATAAGATCCTGAAAAAACAATAATCAGGAAAGAATAAGATACAATAATTAAAATTTTTGGTAAGTTTACTTACGAAATTAAATTGAAAATAAGTTTAGATAGACATAAAACAGATGTTAGAGTAAAAGAGAGAGTTAGTTTTATAGTCCCATAATCCTCAATATTGGTTGACCCATCAACAATAATTACAGGAGAAGGTGCTCTGTGTGATCGAAAATTAGAGAAGATATTAGAGTTACCTGTCATGTGATTTGTAACACTAGAATCAATCATCCATTTGTTTGAAGAGGAGAAAAGACATTTTTTATCTAATTCAGCAGAAGTAGTGATTGGTGTGTATGTTGATAAGCATTCCATGTTCAATAGGATATTATGCTAAATATGATATTTTATTTTTTAGAGTTTTAATAGTAAAGTTATATCATGTAATTAGAATTCTCCTAAAATAAGGATAATTTACTTTATATATATCTACTAAGTGTAAACATAAAACGTAAGAAATAAAATTAGTAGTTTATTTTTCTCTAAAAATCTTCAGTTTATTACTTCAAATATTCTTGAAACTGAGAGAACATTGAATACTCATCGGCTGAAAAGATAATAGTTTTCTAAGAAAATGGAGGAGTTAGCAGTAGCAGCAATAGCAACATTAGCTGTTTGCGTTCTCTGATTTTGATTCTGTAATTCTTGCGTTGTCGCTTCATATGTCATTGCTTAGATAGTAATAATAGGCAATATTGCTTATATCATTATTTCGGCTATCCATTGCTTTGTTTCTTCCCCTGTTATTATTTCTTGCTTCTCCTTTGGTAACAAAAACATTAGTATGCTGATTGGGTGTATTATTCTTTGTGCATAACAGCCAATTAAAAACTTTCTAAAGAGATGTGATCTCGGAACCGAATAGAATATGAGATTTGACAGTCTTAAATTCAGATGGAAGATCAATCAAGAAGCTCATTATGGTCATCTGCTCTCTTTGTGTTTGTTGTACCTTGATGTCAGAACTGAACAATAAAAGTACATTAAGTTCCTCATATGTTTTCTTGAATTCCGTAAAGTAGACTGTGAGAGATTTGACCTCATTCTTAGCACGGTAGAAAGCCTTACAAACTTCATACATGCATGACACATTTCCTTTCCATGAATCCAAAAATTCTAAATAATCTATTAGTTCTTTTTAACAAACTCACAGTAATTAATTAATCCAATTACCTCACTAACAATTAAATTTCTAATATGCAGAAACAACCTTGCATCATCTCTTAGTTAGACTTGAGTCAAGTGATCGTTCTTATCAATACTACGTAGATAAATCCTAATAGTCTTGCTCCACTCTATATAATTTGTACCATTTAATTTATGTTTAGTAATCTTTGATATGACTGAGATTATATCATTTATAGAGAATTTATTATCGCCAAATTTAACTCAGGAATCACAACAAGTGCCATCCAGAATACTCAAACATGACAGTCAAAGATATATAGAAAACATTGCAAATAAACTAAAAATTATGTAGAAACAGAGTACTCTCCACACACGAAAACCTAAAAGAATCACACTACCACCACCGGATTTCTTGCACTGCTGTCGGAAAGTCACGCGTCACCTCCAGAAACCACCAAAAGACGTCCCTTTGGTTGGAAGTCACCAAGAACTCAAATGTGTCCCCAAATCCAGAATGTGGCTCGCAAAACCGCCTCAAATTACGTCAGAAAATCGAGAAACGCTTGTTGTTGCGTGATTTGCTCTGCCTTGGCTTTCTGCGCCTGATCTTCTGGTTTCGTGCTCAAAACAGGCCTGCTGAGCTTCTCTTTAGCTTCTGACTATGTGCCGAATGCGACACGCACTCAAAACAACCTCCTCTGGCTCACCCAACGCATGAGGACCAAAAAACTGAGAAGAAAAGGCTTCCTCCGTTTCTTCTGCGTGCACCACCGTGCTGGCCGCAATTTGAATTGGTCGAGGGACGGTGATCGACTTCCTCTAGCACCGGGAATGAGTTGTTCAACCCTTCTTTGGTTTGATGTAATCTGACCCCTAAAACCCTAATCGTAACTCTAGCTCTGATACCATGTAAAGAGTTAGGAAAAAAATACTGAATATTTCTTGTATTAGTATTCAAATGGGAGTCAGGGTTTATATACATGTAGACAATTCATATATGGTAACTAATATAAATTACTCTATTAATTTTTTTCATAATTATGCTAACATATTTTGAAAGATAATCATATTATTACATACAAAAAATATTTTATAATATTTTAACAATTTTTAAAGAAAGCAATAATATTGGAGGCAATGAAAGACTTAGATAAATTGCTAATGGAGGGATTCATTTATGAGGACCAATAAAAAAGAGTAGTAGAATTAAAGAAGTATTAGAGTGTTGATTAGTTAGGAATGAATATTGAGACAAAAGACTAAATTGAAATGGGTTAAAGAAAGTGATGCTAGCTAACACACACCTTCATCGTAGAGTGGTCAATGGTTGTAGGAGGAAGAGTGCCTAAAAGGACTTTGAACTAGATAATGAGAATTTGGAGAGCAAAGGGTTCAGAGGGAGACGAGGGGGACAAAGGATGTCTTTACTCCTTTTGTCAGTTATGGTTAATGGGAAACCTCAAGACTTGGTCAAGGCCTTTTAGAAGGTGGAGACAAGGGGACACCCTTCCTTAATTCCTGTTCACCCTTGTTATGGATGTACTTAGTAGGATGTACTTAGAAAGGAGAGGCTTCGTGAAGAGGTTGGTGGTAAGTAAGGATAGAGGTAGAAGTTTTGCACTTTTTGTTCGCTGATGATACTATCCTATTCCTATAACATAAAAACCATTCCATTTCTCGGGTTTTGATTCTTATTTAGATTTTGGAGCATATTTTTGGTCTAAAGATTAACTTAGGTAAAAGTGGACTTATTGGAATTAATGAGGGAGAGGACATGATATGTGAGTTAGTAAGGGCGATAGGATGTAGTAAGTTGGAATCACCTATTGTTTACTAGGTGTTTCCTTGGGAAGTAGCTTGCGAAGTAGGCCCTTTTGGGAGAGGGTAAAAAACAAAATAGCTAAGTGATTAGAGAGTTGGAAGGGGGTCCCTTCTCTTTTGGGGGCAGGGCGACACTGAGTTAGGTGTGCCTTTCTAGTACGATACTTTACTATTTTATCCCTGTTTATGATTTCTGGTAGGGTAACAGAGAGGGATAGATGAGAAAATTTCTTTGGTCGAGGGTTGGGGAAGAAAACAGTGATCATCTAGTTTGTTGGTAGACGTATTGCCAATCGAAGAGTTCAAGGAAATTAGAGATTGAGAATCTTAGATTAATGAACATATTTTTATTGGCGAAATGGCTCTGACATTTTCTGGGGAAGTTAAATTCTCTGTGGCACAAGGTGTTTAACGACATTGATGGCAGTAGAAGGACGTTCGGGATATCAAAGTAGGAAAATATGTCTTTCACAAAGTTCCTAGATTCAAAAAAAAAAAAAACTGAATTATAAGGAATAACATCAATAAAACAACTTAGCTGATTTCCTTTGTAATATGGATAAGAAATGCCCATAATTACCCATATGATTTGGCCCACGGAAAAGTTGAAAAAGCTAATTTATTCCAAGGGCTAGCTAATGCTCTGATCCATGTGCATAACATTGCGTTGTAGCTTGCCAAAATAGCACCACTTAATAAAGTCTTGTACTCTTAATCTGCTTATTCCTTTAAAGATGAATAAATATGAAAGGGATTTGAGTATCCAACGAACGGACAAACTCTTGATTCTGTAAATAGTTCAAAAGTATTATTCTTGACAAATGGATTGTATGTACAAGGAATAGTTATAAAATGGCTCTTTAGGTATCAAGTTTAGCATCCATGTATTCCCATAATGACCATAATTGCTCTTGACCCATATGTTAGAAAATTAGGTCCCAACATACAGCACTATAACCACTTAACCCCGAGCAATGTTGTTAGGTTGCAAGGTTACCAATGGCTTAGCCCCCACGCCCCTCAATTCGCAAATGTGGTGTTTTATTCATAATAGTTCTCATAGACGGGCGTCTACTGACACCATGATAATATGGGATACTAAAGGTTTATGTTGTTGAAGATGCATTTTGATTATCGGTTCTTCTCAATGTAAAGGGGAAGGGCTAATAGTGGTTCACAAATATCTACAGTCTTAATAAGTGCATGGAGAGATTCCAAGTATGGGAAGAGTTATCTTATCTCTCAGCTTTGTATAACCCCTACTGGTGTCTCCATGGAGATTTTAATTTTTGTAGATTTCTTTATAAAAAATTAAAGGGAAGTCAGATCTCTACATCAATGTACACGTTTAATGAATTCGTAGGTGTCTGTAAGTTAAGAGACTTGCCCCTAAACAATGCTTGCTTTATTTGGTCAGTCAGTAGACAAGGAGTTGTCTCTTTACTTTTGAACCGATTTTTAGTTTCTACCTGTTGGGAGGATAGTTTTGCAGATCTGGTGTAGGAAGTTTTCCAAAACTAGTATCTGATCATTTCCTTATCTTTCTTGAATCTCAGAGAGTGAATGAGGGCCCTACCCCATTTAGGTTTGAGAATATGTGGACATCATGCAAGTCAGGGAGGAATAGCAAAAACTGATGGACCCTGGAGAGGAATATAGATTTATGCGGAAACTAAAAAACTTAAAGGAAAGGTTGAAAAAGTGGAACAAAGAGGTATCTGAAAATGTGGGATAGTGAAAGAAGGGAATTTTTGAGGATGTTGAAGAGCTAGGAAAACCGGGTGCAGAACTAGATATCTTGGCTGAGCAACCGAATAGCCTTGTCTCTTGCATAATGAGTTGGAAGATGTAGTGTTTTTGGAAGAGACAAGCTGGAGACAAAAGAAAAAGATTCAGTTGGTTAAGGAAGAGGACGCAATACTTGATTGTATTAAGAGGTTGTAAGACGATGGAAAAGAAAAAATGTGATAAAAGAAATTGAATTGGAGAATGAGTGGGTGGAAAGAAGAGAAAAATGTATTCCTAAGGTGATCACTTAGTACCATAGGACATTATATATTGAAGAAGTAGTCTCTCGTCCATTCATTGATGGTCTTGACTGGGCACCATAGGGAGGGCTAAGGTGGAATTAATTGAAAGACCCATTGCAACGGAGGAGATTAGGGGGGCTATTTGGGATCTAGGCAATAGAAAAGACGACGGGCGAGATGAATCTGCGCTCAAGTTCTTAAGAGTATGTTGGATCTACTTACAAGAGCATAAACTCCACTTTTGTTACCTTAGTTCCTAGAAAGGATAAGTCCTCCAAGGCCTCTGATACTATTCCATCAGTTTGGTGGCTAGTGTTTATAAAATCATCACGAAAGTTCTCTCCTTTCGCTTAAATGATGTGTTAGATGACATTCACTGAACCAAAATGTAAGAAAATCAATAATTTATTATACAGGGGTATATTTTACCGCTATATCATTTAATCTAATTTAACCATAATTACCTATGCTGTACATTTGCTAATATTTTCTATCTTTGTTTAAATCTCCTCATTGTCTTGTGGAGAGTATTGAGAGGTGATGTGGAATTTTCCTTGATCCAGTTTATGTGAGCCTATGAAGAACCTCCTACTTAGATGGTAGTTGTGTTTTCTTGTCTAAGTTAAATGATGGTCCTAGTGTTTGGGAACCTTCTTCGTTAAGAACTTGCTGTTGTTTAAGGTATCATCATGTTCCTTTCAAGATTGAAATCTTTGTTTGGATTGCAGGTTTTGATAGGCTGAGTGTTAACAATTTGCTCAAGCTCATAGGCTGAATCATGATTTGTTCCCTGGAGTATGCATAACGATTTCCGAAGTTGCTAAATCTCATAATCACCTTTTCCTTTACTGTGATAAGAGTTGGAGTCTTTAGTCTCAGTTGGTTGATACTT